TGTAAAAGAGCTTTGAGTAGTCGGAAGTTTCAAGCTCAAGTCATTTATCATTTACCACAGTAACTGAGTTCACTTAGCATTAGCAGGCGAATGCCAAAATTTAACTATTACTGAAGCTCCACATCTGTGAGTGCTGTGGTTTGTTGTTAGGCAGTAATTTTTGGAAGGTGCTCAGTTTTATTCTAATAAGATGTGATTTCATTGTTTACATTAGGGGCAGTTAAACAATGCTATCATTATATAATTGAAACACATTAGGGCAGAATTTTTACAACCCCGTCCGTCAAAAAGACAGATAGCTAGAAAACCTAAAGTAAACTGCATTGATATTTGTTACATTTATAATAAGCTTATTTGGGACAGGTACACACTGCATCCTTGACTGGGAGATGGGTTATCCTAGGTTACTGCACTCACATCAATGAATGTAAGAATCATTCTTCAGGCAAATGCTTTAGAGTGTTCTCAGTAACATTTTTCAGCCAGAATATTTTGGTGATGTTAGTCCTGAAATCACCAGACACATTAGGAATCCCCACATGCAAGGATAGTCCCATTAGAGATTTTATCCATTTACACTCCAAAAACAATGTCTTCTTTCATTCAGACGATTACACACAGATAAACACACTGACACATTGATTGCTAGGGCTGACGTAAGTGTATAGGAATATCTTTGATGTGGGCAAGTGATGTTTGCCACACCAAGTTGATGGCAGTAACATACTGAGCCATAGAGGACCCCCTTGCAGTAGACCAGCCTTTCCCAAACTTAAGACTGCCGCGGCCTGCTTTGAAATACAAAATTACTCTGGGGCCAGTTATAATTTTTTTTTTTTTATGACTACAGCTATCACTTTCAGTTAGGGTAAATTATTGGACATTACAACATGATATTATGGCAAGATAAACTCAAAGGTTTAGTAAACATTATGTCCATAAATAGTCATGACACACCTTACTAATCACTTAAAGGGTTGACTCATGATAAATCATCATTATTGTGATGTTTATTTTATTTTTAAAATTGGTGGAGGGCTTTTTGCGACCCACCTGCAGTACCCAGACAGCCCACCAGGGGGCCACAGCCCACACTTTGGGAAGCACTGCAGTAGACTATTTGTTTCCCAATTTAAAGGTAGTATTCTTCCAAGGAGCAGCATACCAAGGATCCAGTCTTCGTAGCCTGTTTAGAACGGATTAAATGAAATAAGACGGTCTGGTCTACAGAGGATTTGGGTAGTTTTGTGTAATGGGTAGGAACATAGCGACGCGAAAAGAAACTTAACAGACACTGTGTCTCCTTTGGTATATAACCCATGGAAACGTCACAATAAATTCTGTTCCCTGGAGTGGCTTTGGCTTAGAAGTATGACTACTGATTACCTTGGGCAATGAGAAAGAGTAAAATGAAGGCTTCCCTACTGGAAAAGAACAAGTTTAATGTTGAAACTCATGTGTATTCTATTCATCTTAAGAATGCACCTCAGCTCCAACACAGCAAGTCGATAGGACTTCATTCTGTAATTTCTGTAACCACGTGGGCTTGCTGGTCAAAATGCCAAGAATATTGTCCTCTGTTCAGATCCACAAGGGTCCTCAATCCTCATGTAGCTCATGATGTATTGCACTGTAGAAAACGTAAGAATCAAGTGGAGTATAAGCAGAAACTACTTTGAGCAATTTAATTTGATTGAAGATATTCATACGGCATGAATAAATCTGCTTTTTTTTTTCTCGGTTTGCGCTGTGATACCTTCCTTGGTCCTACCTTAGAATACAATATAAAGTCGCAAAAGAACAAATGCATACTTATAATAGAGACTTTATTAATTATATTGCATTTATTGAACTTCATAGCATAAGATAAACAATGTTTGCACATGTTATCAGTGTTTATAGTGTCAATCATGCTCCTTATTTAATACTGTGACTTTGAAAGGTCTTGACTGATATTGTAATATTGTCATAAGGAGTGGCACAAGCTTTCACAAATGCACTCCTGGACATTTCTAGAGAAGTTCAGGAGGACTGCTCTTGAAAGAAAGTCAGAGTGAAAAATTTGGCTGTTAGCGGCCACACATGCAGCTCACCCTGAAAACTATAAGAGTTTTGTGCAAGTGTGAGAGCACTACAATTTTGTAAAGTGAAATGATCATTCATTGTTGGCAAGGTTCAGTTGTTATTGCTCTGGTGGTCATTGGTTTCAATTAGTTTTGCTTCAATATCTGGAAGGTTGAGCATGCAAACGTTATTTTTGAAGACTGCCTGCCATGTCTGTTTTTAAAATGGAAAGGTCTCACTGATCATTGCTTTGAGAGCAAATCATAATGTGAAACATTCGAATCAGCAACTGATACATGACCATTAGACCCTGTGTGCTTCTCATAATCATAAAACTCACAAAATGCATTCATTCCAACACCTAGCTTTATGATCTAGTTTTGTGACTCTCTCTCTCTCTACCTCTCTCTCTCTCCTCTTCCCAGGAAAACCCTGATTGGTTGAGAGCAGTGAGCAGAAGTGACCTCTGTCCTTGAATATGGGAACATCAACATTGGGAAAGGCAGCATCTCTTGATGCTCTTTTAAATGAATGCATTCATGCATTTGGTAAGTGACACATATGACAAGACTGCTATCAAGGCTTTATTATCTACCTAACAAAGTGGGCACAGGTAGGGACCCGGGCGTTAGTGGCCCAATTGTGCAGCGATTAGTTTGAGGTAATTAGATTAGATGAAATACAGTGGAAGGGGCTTCATGGAAAATATTATCTGAAATAATGTGTTGAAGAGAGGAAAAAAAAATCTACATTCAATCACATTAAAGATTATATTAATGCATGATTTATTTTAATTCTGTCATTTCTTTTTGTATGTAGTTGTATCAATACATTTAAAGATAAATACATTTGCAGTTAGTGTTTGATCAAGCGGCAACAGTGTTGAAAAATTAAGCCAATGAGGAATTGTTAAATCTTGCAGTTCCTCAAGGGTCCATTTGAGGCTGGCTCCAAGAGCACAAAGACATCACATACACACCCATTCAAAAATGCCAATTTTTACAACAAAAATATACATGTTTACAGCCTGGTAAAAAAAATAGGGTGGTACATTTTTTTTTATAATGCATCCTTTTTGATTTTATGAAATATCAATAGTTAGGCATGAGGCCAGGCTTAAATGTTTTTATGGACTTTTTAATGAATTTGTTTCAAGAATATTACACAAAATACTTAGAGGGACTTTTTAAGATATATCAGAATACAACATGACTACGCTTCCCTCATGACCACTAGTGCAGTCACTAACAGATTCAATTTGGTAACATATTCTGAATCACTTCTTTTTACAGATGACAATGGACAGTTGCAGGCCAACCTGCTTCCCCGCAACCTCCTGATGATGCATCGCTGGTATGTTACATCCTCCGAACTGGCGGGAAAGCTTCTGATGATATATCCTTTCTGACAGAAAGCCTGCAGGAACTACTTCTACACATTAACACAATGCTTTAACAACATTTTAAAATAATCCTGGCTAACTGTAGTAAAGGCTGCTCCAAATATGTACGTCCAATTTAAAACAATGTATTCTGAGAAATTGGGATTTACAATCTATATTATTATTGATATATTTATCATGAAAGATTCTTTCATTTTGCTTATGAGACTTAAAATCATTGCCTGGGATAGGAATCTTTGGAGAAACCAGCAAGAGACAGCTAGATCCAAAGCCTTCTCTTAGGCCTAAATCCAAAGTCAGTCCCCCTGGATGTGTACTGGTGGAGGACAAGTACTGTGATGTGAATGTTACAAGTCCATGAGCGAGCTCTTTATTTGTATAGCACCAATTCATAAAAGCAGGTAAAATACCTTACTCTTAACCAACATTAATCCACCATGAGCACAGCACTGAGCAACATTTAACAAACTTACAGTGGCTAAAATACCTTTTTGCTGTCAGAAACCTCGAGCATAACCAGACTCATGTTGAACAGCCATCTGCCCAAACTGTGTTGAGTATGGAAAGTGGGATAGAGGGAGATGCAGGAAGAAGTAGAAGGGTAAGACATATTGTATGTTAAAGTGGAATTGATCCAGTCCTGGATCGGTGCCCTTGAAACTGCTCAGTAAGTGGTCTGTAGTGTTGACAGCAAGGCGCCAACCTCCATTGTTTAAAAATGAAGCCAATGTAGAGGTTGCAAAAAACTGCAGTTCCTCGAGTGACAACTCCAAGGACAACAACCAACACATTGCATTTCCACAATTCATCTTCTATTGCATACTTCTCAAATCTAGCTAAATGTGTCGGAATTCTCCAAAGTTGCCAATCCAAGTTTTTAGAAAAAAGGGCATATAAACAAGCTCCAAATGGCCTCTATCATTGTCACATGTCTCAGAGTCAACAGCCTGCCTTCACAAATATAGAAGCAAGAAGATAGCATGCATTTTGCTGATAAATGTATTGGACATATTTTATCTTTATTCTCTTTGATGTTTTCACACATTGGTTTAATCTTCGAGACAACATCTGTCAAGGAAATCAGTTTCAGCAGAGGATTTTCTGGCACAACTTCACCAACTACCAAGGTGCATGAAGAGTGAAAGGCTTGAAGAGGTCAAAAACATCAACTTTATTAACAAATTAGGTAGACCTAATTTTAAATTTGATCTTCGTACTACAAGTGATGCTGGAGCTTTTTGACCTCTTCATGCCCCCATAGCTTCTGTTTAAGTAATGTTTAAGGAGAGGAAGAAACCCCTGCTGCTAAGAAGCTTGATGTCTGTAAAGATCATAAATGCCAACAAATTAGGCTGGTCTCCTGTTTTTCAGATACAAAATGAAGCAAAATCATCCTAAAACTGTGATTATTCATTTTCTTTCGAATTCAAGTGGGCTACTTAATATGCTTAAGTTTTATACATTAAGGTGATTCTGTCAGATCTTGGAAAAGTCCTTGACTTACCCCACGTACCGTGACTGCAAAGATGACAACTGTCAGATAACCAGGCTGAAGATTTGTTATTTAATGAGGTAAGTTGATGCATCATTCATCCATCTAATTTCACCTCTTGTCACAGTTTTTCATGCAGTTATGTAGTTGTATGTGTACAATTTAACATATAAGGTTTAATACTTCAGTCAGTTTTTATCCTCACAATGCTCTTTCCTTACCCTGTTGTGTTAACACTGAAAATCAACAGTTATTTTTAAACTTGGCTCAAGCCAGTGACTAACCCTTTGTTATAAGGCAAACTCTGTAGCAGAGTGGGGTCACCGAGGGGGGAGGACATCCAACAATTCAAAGTTGTGAATACAGTTGAAAGAACTTCCTGAACTGTAACACCACAATACTGGCACATGAGTCAAGTTCACAGGGCCCTTTTTAATCCAACGGAAAGCTTGAGAATACTAAAATGAGATGTTTACTGGCATCACTGGCACAGGCTCATCATGTCACCATCTTTACAGGTACTGGATAGTCACATTCCCGGCAGAGTTCAACCTGGATTTGGGTCTGATCCAGATCACAGAAGAGTTCAGAGACGTGGCTGCTCAGCTCGGCTGTGAGGAGCATTTCAAATTCCTCGACATCTCCACAATGTAAGGCAAAAAGATCAAACAGAGACAGTTTATGGAACTATTGTAATATTAAGCATTAGTGAACATGTATCAGATATTCATTTGCCAACAATGATGGTAAAGTTGATCCTAATTCCAATCTGAACACTTAAACAGATAAATGGCAAACCCTGGAGTCAATGCAATTAAACATTTCTATGGATACAAATGTTTTGCTTTTTATAGCTGTTATCTATCATCAGACCTGCCTTAATCAACATAACCACAACCTTTAAAGACAATAGTGAACATTCTGGAGCTTTAAGTCTGTTGGTTGCAAATTGTTCCAATTGATATCTTTGGGTCGCGTTATTAAAAGTACATCATAAGGACCTATTTTTATGTTGGCTATGTTGTATACATTGTTCTCTTTGTAGTCCGTCCTATGACTGGATGCGTAAGCTGACCCAGCGGAAGAAGCAGGCCAAGAAAGGCAAGGCCTCACTGCTGTTTGACACCTGCAGCCCATGGAGCTGGCGAGCATCTCACTTTCCTTGAGTTCAAATCCATCCGGAGGATATCGGTTAGTCTACAAACAGCTCTGCTTCTTCACAATGGTCCAATTGTTTAAACTTTGCCACTGTATCAAGGGGGGGAGGGGTTGTTTAAGGTCACATAGTTTATTTATTCATTTTCACTATAAATGTCATTTTAAATTACTTCATTACCTCTTCATAAAAGTTAATTTACTAGAATAAGCCTCAGTGCATAGCTACTTTGACCAATTTTGAAAACAAGAAGGCAACCCTTCAAAGCAAGACAGTGTATCCTATCATTTGAAAGAAGAAAAACACATTCTTTCTGTTAAAGGTTAAATTCATAAGAAACAAATTAGATCCTTGTTAAATTCTGGAAACTCAAGGGGTTTTTCCTGCTACAGCCTCGATTAGTCTGGTGTGAAATAACTGAACCATGTGCGATTGAAATTCACTCCTTTAAATATGGGGACCATTGGTGCAAAAAAAAAGAAGCTGGGAAGCTAGCATCTGCTGCAGAGCTTTGATGTGAATCCAGCCTGCCTCTGTGTGAACTGCCTTGTATTCACAGGACAGGTGGTTACTTGTTAACAACACCAGGAAGAAGATCAGAGTCTGTAGTCATGGTCTTGTTTGAGATTTTGATAAAAACCGCGGACTCTGTGTGAGTGTTTGTCCTTGAATAGTGATATGGTGACATTGGCTGTTGCTTTGGTCAGCATGCATACTCACATTTTTCCCACACATGACAAGGGATAGAACTGAAAAACACCAGATTTACAAAATATCATTCAGAATCTGAAAGATAAAATTGACGCATGTGCTTGATATTCCTCTAGCCACCATCAGGGTGTATTTTTAACTCTTCCCACAGGATGAATACTTTGGAAATTCCATGAACCCTCCTGACTGAAGCCAAGGGCACATTGATGTGTTTTAGCAGATAAACCCAAAGCTTTTCCTACACAACTGCCCTCAAGCCAACAAAAAAAAAAAAAGTCTGTTCCACATTTTTCAGTTGTCCGGTGCAACCTTGCAACATGAAACAGAAAATTTAAGAATAATGCTCCACAGTAATTACCATGCAGGCATTAGAAAAACAATAACGTTGGATTATTTTGACATGAGCACAAGCGTATTGATTGTTTTATTAGCTGACTACTTTACTGGGACTTTAACTGGCATTATTTTACTTTTACTTCACACTAGCTAGCCCACGATGCAATGTTCACAGTACAGTACGGGCAGACTCTGGTGGTCTTACCTTCAGCATCGTGACATGGACATAAGCCTCAATCCAGTTACTGTATCCTTTTTTATGAATCCTTTTTGCGATCCTGATAAATTCATTTCTCACATATGGGCTGGGATGTATATCTTAGTTTGTAAGCATGATGCTAACACATAGTGGAAAATGCTATTAACTAACTAAATTAGCATTGGATAAACTTAACTTAAGAAACAACCAATTAACCTAACATACTCAACAAACAACACCATGCACTCATACTAACAGGCATATGTTTCCATATGAAGCATTTGAGATGCACTTAAAAAAACTGCTTACTTATGCTAGTCCTGTCTGCCGGAATACCATAAACACGTCACCAATCAGTATCTTAAACACGTAGAACATTATAAGTCTACATTTATATTGCAGATTATACATGTTGTACTTTGCTCATTAAAATTTGTATGTATAGCCTTTCCTTAAAACTAATATTGAAATATCATTCATTGAAGGTCTGTCATTCACCTTGAGGGGAGTGGGTGGGCGGGGCTCCAGTGCTCTCTTTTGACCAGAGGAGGTCGTGTGGAATATGGTCTATTGTCATTACGATTTATTAAGAGGTCCTTGGGCACTTAAAATAAAATACAAAATAGATGGGATCTAATCAGTAATTGTCTTTTCTTTTGCTACCAGTTCACTGATTACCAGAGCTATGTAATCCACGGCTGCCTGGTGGACAACCCGACTTT